TGGTGGCATAGATTAAGGAGGCAGTCTTTACTTTTCTTTATGTAGCTTACCTATAGATTTACTGCAGTTCTCTAACAGTATTGACATACATATCCTTTTAGATTTTCTCTAGTCTTACTTGCTGCCTTATGTTGCTGATTATTAACTTTTTATCTTTTTTAAATTTTACTGTGGCTATTAAAAAAACCAGTATAAATGCATGAGACACACATTGGGAGGAAGAAGCATTAAGCATCAAACTAGTTTCCTGAAAAATGTTGGGGGGCCAGTGAGATAAAGACATGCACTTGATCTGATATAAAAAAACTTAAGACATGAAATAAGTGACATTTCATTGTCGTAATACATCCCGAGGAGAAAAAAGAAAAACACAAAATCTCTTGAATTTTAATTCTGTAATTCAGTTTTCAAAATTTGTAACTTATTCCTCCCTGTATTGCAAAAGGGGCAATACTAAATACAAAAGCAAATTAGAGTTACTTTTTGTGGCCATACTACAAAAGCTGGATTGTCATGCAAGTACAACCAGGAGATTGTAAGGAGGTTATTCTTTTTTCTGCGAGAGGGAAGAAAAGTCTTGTACCATTAAAACAATCAAATGGCTTGTAACCTAAAGGCTTAGGAGGTTTAGTTTAATCTCTTTTAATTGGATAAATCATCTGATAAAAAAGGAAGTTTCGTTGATACAATAGAGCGGAGCTGACAGGCCCATGTATTTTTTTATTCTGTTCAAGCAGGAGATGCATGTACATATTCTGCTATGTATTATTCATACCCTCTGTCATTCGATTACAAATATATAGTACACATTCTGCTAGGTTGGGTTTATTCTTAGATATGTATCTCATGCTATCAGATGTTAGTAACAACACTGTAGCCCATGTTAGTGGTTGTGGTTTAATCAAAGTTCAGTGGATAGCCTCCTACCCCACATAATCTCCTGCACAATAGTCTTGGGCTGAAAGCAATTTGTTTATGTTCATTAGTTGTTAGGTGCTAGGTTCAATGTATCGGCCGAGTCGTATCCGACTCGGCCACTACCGATATGAGACCGATACACGTTACACAGATAGCACAAGTCTTCAATGAATCGGTGTTGACTCGTTATGACTTGGGAGTATTGGTACAAATCGGGGCCACTTGTTTGTATCGGACAATTTAACATAATTGAACTGAAATTATGAAAATAGTTTAGAAAATCTCACGACAAAGAAAAAGCCCAAAAAAAAGGGCAAAGAGAGAAGTAGAGAAGACCCACAACTGTAAAAGAAGACCTAAAATCACAAAAATTAATATGCAAATCGTGCGTTTGTTCAACCCTAAATCACACCCCTTAATGCCATTAGATAAACAAGAGAAGAAATTGAGAGAAGTTGTGAGGCAAGACCTGTAAATAATGGCAAAATCACCATGAATACAAACGAGACTCATTGTCTCGTAGATTTGCTCCTCACTCTCTCTTTCTCTCTCAACGAACGAAGACTGGCAAAGACTCATTCACTCGTGTGCCTTTAATGTCTCTCAACTTCTATTTTCTTTTAATTTCTGTTTTTTTTTATTTTAGGTAATGTTTTTTTTTCTAATTTCTTAAATGTTTTAAATAATTTTTTTTTATTGGTAAGTTTTTTTGAATATTTTTGGGTAGGGAGTCTATCCTTTGGTTCTAACTTATTATGACAAATACTTATTGTAATATACTATATTATATACCTCTATTTATTTTTTGAATATTTTTGGGTAGGCAATTTGACCTTTTGGTTCTAACTTATTATGGCAAATACTTATTGTAATATACTGTAATATATACCTCTATTTACTTGAATATATTAAATTAATATTCTATAAGTCACAGACAAATATTAATTTTTCCTTAGTTTGATTTTAAAATTAAATAGTAATATGTTCAAAAAAATGGTGGTAACCTATATTTAATTGGATTTTGTACTATTTGAATCTAATAGTATTTTAAATGCATACATTGAACATTGATAATAACAAATATTTCTGATAGTGCCCTTGTATTTTATTTTCATTATGTTTAAAATGTTTGATTATGTATTTAGGACATATGATGCATGATTTTTGTTGTATACATTTTTTAGAATTTTTCAAGATTTTTTTAAAGAATTTTTTAGATCTTTTATCTAGCATTTTTTAAATATTGACCGATACCATGCTGCGACGTCGCGATCGATGTCTATTATTGCTTTTGGATTTGATAGTCGATACCTTAACTTTGAACCATGGTTAGGTGAGGGTATCGTTGCCTTACGAAATTATATTCCAGGATTTTACTCACTGAAAATTCTCCCTTTCAAATTTGTATGCTCTCATCGCATTTATGTGACTTTTCATTGTTAAGAGAGTTTGTATTCCACATAAAATAATTAGGACCACTAAGGTTGTTTTATATATTTCTGGGGCCACTCCACTTATTTTCAGTTGATTTTGAGTTGGATGCTCTAACGTGGTATTTGAGTTGGATGCTCTAACGTGGTATCAAAGTTGGGCCTTGGGTGGTCAATGGACAAGTTTCTTTATCCATTTGAATTTGTTGGTATGGTTGTTTGTTTATTTGTTTGTTTGTTGACTTCATGTGCAAGCTCGGTTCCATGTGAAAGAGGGTTTTAAGAGAGTTTGTATTCCTCATCAATAATAAGGACTACTAAAGTTGGTTTATATATTTGAGGAGTTACTCCACTCATTGTCAATTGGTTTTGGATTAGATGCTCTTAACACTCATTACCTAGACATTTTGATGTTGTTTGGTGGAGTTGAGCAAAGAGGATTTGATGCGGGTGACCCGAATTTTTGTATTATATTTGAAAGTGGTCAATCCATTAAATTAGAAAATTTTGGAAGATTTATTATATTTCCTAATTTAGTGAGGAAATTATTTTATTTTTTTTCTAATTCCTAGGATTTTATTTTATTTGGTTTCTTAGTTTGTTTAGGGTTTCTACTATTATATAAATGCATGTAAACCTTAAGGTAAAACAACTTTTGATGAATTAACAGTATTGATAGAATTGTCTCTTCATTTCTCAATTATTTTGGTATTCTTTGTGAATCAACAGATCAATTGAAGCTTTTAGAACTAGTATTCTTTGTGATTCAACAACTCTAGAGTAGAATTGTAAATCGATATATGTGCACAAATCAACGGTATAGTTTCATTATCCCATTCTTGTTCATCATATCATTTTTCTACCCGCTTTCCAACATCACTAGACTTGTTGATTCTGCAGAATATCAGTTTTAGAGACTTAAATTGATCTGTTGATTTCTAAGAACACCAGAATAATTGGGAAAAAAATAGACAACTCTATCAATACTGTTAATTAACCAAAAAAGTTGTTTTGCTCGAAGGTTTACATGCATTTATATAATAGTAGAAACCCTAAACAAACTAGGAAACTAAAATCTTGAATAATTAGGAAATCAAATAAAATAAAATTTTAATGGAATTAGAAAATAAAATAATTTCCTAATTAAATTAGGAAATAAAATAAATCTTTTAAAATTTCCTAATTAAACGGCATTAACCACGTTCAAATAAAATACCAAAATTTGGATCACCCATAGTGCATCATTCTCCCCAAGTTGGAAAGAATTCACCATCAAATTCAGGTTCAGTATTTGACTCATCACTTGAACTTTGGTTTCGACCAATTCATTGATTATGAATTTGATACCTTAATTTTTGTTTGAATTTAACTTTTCGACCAATCCAAAATTTTTCCTTTGTAAATATTCCATTAGTGTTGCAGCAAGACGCAATGATTGTTCCCCAATAAATCAAAATAGAAGGATTTTTATTTTCACAAAATCTTCAGCCTCCTCGTTCGAAGGGCTCCCTTTATTTTTTTCCTTTTATGACCTCCAACTCAAAAAATAAAGTATTGATTTCACAAAAATCAAGGAACACTTGTTGCCTTGCTGAAAGTTCTACAAGTTGCTCACCCATTTGTTATTGAGCAGCCATAGACAATGGACTGCTTGTGTGTGCAACTTAGGACCAAACTCTTTATCAGAAGGCTGGTTAAATTCTATGTTGTTTTCTACTCTCTCCAGGCCCCTCAAATTTGCTGTTGTGATTAGGAAAACATCCATCGAATATTTATCATATATTGAAAAATCATAATCATTCTTAACAATGACCGGAGAATCATCAGTAGAATATTCATCAAATATTAGGGATAAATTTTAATCAACTTCTGATTGAATATAAGATGATTCACTATTAAAATAAATTTTCAAATTTCATGTCATGAAAATATTAATAGGAACGTAACTGTGCTCTGATACCGGCTAAAGTAGGGAAGTGGGTAGAAAAATGGTATGATGAACAAGAATGGAATAATGAAATTATATCGTTGATTTGTGCAGAAGTACTGGTTTAGAATACTATTCTAGAGCAGTTAATTCACAAAAATATTAGTTCTAAAGACTTCAATTGATCTGTTGATTCACAAAGAATTCCAGAATAATTGGAAAAAGAAGAAGACAACTCTAAGACTTACATGCATTTATATAATAGTAGAAACCCTAAACATACTAAGAATCTAAAATCCTAAATAATTAGGAAACCAAATAAAATAAAATCCTAATGGAATTAGAAAATAAAACAAACTAGGAAGCTAAAATCCTAAATAATTAGGAAACCAAAAAAAATAAAATCCTAATGAAATTATAAAATAAAATAAAATAATTTCCCAACTAAATTAGGAAATAAAATAAATCTTCCAAAATTTCCTAATTGAACTGCATTGACTATGTTCAAATAAAATACCAAAATTTGGGTCACCTATACTGCATTATTTAGAGTAGGATTCTAAAATGTATTTGTCCACAAATCAATGGTATAGTTTTATTATCCCATTCTTGTTCCTCGTACATTTTTTTCTACCTGCTTCCTGGATTTGATTCAAGGGGTTTAGTCATCAGTGTGCTGTCCACCTTCGCTTAAAGCAGTTTAAAGACGAGGCTTTAGACTGATTATGCCTCCCAGTGGAAACCTTACTGTCTGGCACTGCTGGTGGGTCACAGACCTTCTGGATTTGAAATCCAGTAGTCACTGTTTTTCTGAATCACGGACAGATCCAACTGAGGGTCTAATAGCTGTTAGTTGTTTTGAGGATCTTCTCGCAGTCGTTATGGAGGCCAAATAGCTAATACCTAAGAATGTTAGTTGAACAAGAGAGAGGGAGAGGCACTACTTTGTCTTTTGCAGTCACAAGGCTTGCGTGGATCTCATGAGCATACTTCAAGGAAGTGAAACCGAGACTATGGAATGACCTTTTTTTGCCCAATTCACCTGTAATTGAGTCTGACTTGCTTTTCTCCCCCTAAAGTTTTATTAATTTGAAATTTTCTGTGCAGAGCTAGATTAATCCAAATTCATGACAGGTTGCTTTTGCGCATGCATTTTTATACCCCCTTTGTCCCCCTCTTGCCCTCTCAATGCCGGCTACCAAACTCGCTTTAGTATTTATTTTAGCTAATTTTTTTTCTTTTGTGATACTCAGAAATCTAGAGAGAAGAAGGAAGTTCTTAAAGGTAAGTAACACATTTGATCTTATTTATTGTTGTTGTCTTCCCTCTGATAATTTGAATCTTATTAGCTTCTCTCTGTCTCTTTTCTTACCCCCCCCCCCCCCAAAAAAAAAAAAAAAAAAAAAAAACCCAACCCACAATTTAGACAAGAAACTTGAGCCTTCGAAAGACGATCAACGAGTTGACAAAACAGAGAAAAAGGAGACTGTATCCTCTGGTCTGGAAGTAGATGCTAACAAAAAGGGGGAAGATGGCAGCAAACTACAAGGGAATGCAGACAAAGAGACGGGTGAGAATGATAAAAAAGTTGAGAAGAAAGATGAGACTGAAACAGCTGAAGAAGGCAACAGTGTTGAGAAAAAGGAACAGGGAGAAGGTACGGTTGTTCAGTCACCTGGTAATGTGAAGTCTGGAAAGAAGAAAATTATAAAGAAGATTGTCAAACAGAGGGCTATTGAAAAGAAAGACAATATGGAAAATATGACCGAACCAAATGAAAAACCAGATACGAAAGACGATGGAGAAATTAATGCCAACATAGAAGTTACTGGTCAACACAATGAGTCACCTGCTGATACTGCTGCTATTAAAACCTTTATGAGAAAGAAAGTTTAAAAAAGGTTCCCATGGGGAAAAATTCTCAGAAAGTAGATGGTGTGCAGCCCGAAGTCAAAACTGTGAAGGATTCTGAGTGTTCTGAAGATAAACCACTGGGCGAATCAGATTTTGTTAGTGCTGCTATAAAACAAGATGCTAGTATGAAAACAACAGTGAAGAGAAAAATAATTAAAAAAGTGCCTAAAAGAAAGGTAGCTGCTGTGGAATCCCATGATGGGGTTCCAGATAGCAACAAAGATGGTGAGAAGGATGAAAAAAAGATGGTTGAGGCAGGAAATGAAACAAAAATGATTGGGGGGCAAACTGCCGATGCTGACTATCTGGTGAGTGAGGTCAAGTCAGTAAAAAAGACAATCTCTAAAGCAAGTCAAAAACAGCAACTTCTGAGAAGCAAGATAATGTGGGTAGCTCGAATAAACATGTAAACAAGTCTAACAAGGAAGAGAAAAGGGTTGATGAGAAAAGTGGTTCTGTTTCCAAAATGGATCCTGAGGCTGAGAAACAAAAAGTGTCTCGCAATAGTGGTCCCAATGGCAAGAGGGAAAAATCAAAAGAAAGGGAAAAGTCCAAAGAGGAGAAAGACAAAGAAGACAAGGATGTAAAAGATGAGTCCAAGAGCAAATTGAACAGAGAAGTGAAAGAAAAGAAAAAACCAGAAGAACCTCCTCGGCACCCTGGCTTGTTTATCCAAACAAAAGGGAGCAAGGATTCTAAGGTAAGTTTAAGCTAAATTGATAAACATAGCATATTATAACATTATTAATATCAAATTCATTCTGCCCTTGTCTAATAACCTTGCATGTCCCATCCCATGTATCTAACTGTATAATATCTGGGCTGCAGCTGCGTTCATTGTCACTTTCACTGGATTCACTTTTGGACTATACTGACAAGGATATCGAAGAATCAACATTTGAGGTGTGTTTGCCCTATATTTAATCCTCTATGCTGTGACTGTGTTGTGGTAATCTTTATGGTGTTTTTCTGTTAAGGATGATCATAATCTCTTATTCTCCCGTGATTCTTAAATTTAAGGTGCATCATGATGCATAATTGAAATTTCAGCCCATTCTATCATTTTAACCATTTGTATATTCCTCCTTCACTGTCTCCTTGGCAGCTTTCCTTATTTGCAGAATCCCTATATGAAATGCTTCAGTATCAGATGGGTTGCCGTCTTTTGACATTTCTTCAGGTTGGCTTGAATAATTGATATTCTAATTGTTTGTGTTGTTTACATAGTTGGGTTTTTTTTATTAATATGCTTGCTTTCCTTTTCCTTGTGTCTTTTCCCATTTATAGAAATTGCGCATTAAGTTTGTGATGGAAAGAAACCAACGGAAAAGACAAAGGGTTGACATTTCTGACAAGGAAGGTGAAAAGAAATCATCAAGAAAGCGCATGAAAACTGATGAGACCGTTGTGGAAATCACATCTACTAAAACGGAAACACCAAATGAAGATGATGGAAGAACAATCGTCAAGGAGAATAATACTGCAGCCGATGAGGTGAAGAAGGAAAAGCCTGAAAATGAAACAGATGAGGATGAAGATCCAGAGGAAGATCCTGAGGAAGATGAAGAAATGCCAGATGCAAGCCCTCAGCGTGACTCAACCAACGAGGCAAGATTCCTTTCTTCCATTCTCTCTCTCTTGTCGCTTCTCATTCTTCAAATGTAAGCTGTTTCTTTCTATCTCTCTTTTCTCAGGCGCATACACACACCCCACACTCTCTCTCATGGGTAATCACGTAGCTTTTATATCTTTATTTTAATTTTCCTTTCTGATGCTTCGTATCGAACTGCGTTCTCCGAACTTCTGCAGTATATTGTGTTGATTAGTAGCCGACTTTCTCTTGACCTTTTCATTAAATTTGGGAGAACGAAGTAGTTATATGTTTTAACTATGTTATAGTACAATGGTGGTGCATATGCACATATATAACACTGCCTGGCATATAATTTGCATATTTTGAAGTGGTATCTTTTGAAATCGGACAAGTACTTGGGAAATGATTTCTGGTTGAATTATGCTGTGAGAATTTAGATTTCACAAATACAACTGTGTTTAATTGCCAAGGACGAGATTTTTCACCTTAACTCACCTGTCTGCTCTTAAAACATACAAGAGGACAGTGAAGACGATGCAGTAGATGAGATTTTTTTTGGGGTAAATTCATTTTACCTTCGTGTGGTTTAGCCCTATAGCACTTCACCCCTTATGGTTCAAATGTAACCACATAACCCTTGTGTGGTTTGGACTAAAATGCACTGTCAACTCTGTTGAAAAGGTGAATAAAATGACATTAATACACATAATATACCCTGTCTTAATACTCGTCTCTCTCTACTAGGTATATTACTATGTTTGACCTAGGTCCTGAGCAGAATTAATCTCAAAATTTTAGCATGCAAGTATGAAATTGAATATCTTAGTATCTTTCAACTCGTTAGATTTGAAGTCCACCACAATTCTTTCTTCAGCTTCATGCGTGAAGCACCCATATTGTATCATCTTTGCTGGCAGCCATTCACCTGAGCTTACATTAATCTGGATTCTGGAACCTTTTCCCAAGGCCCACTGACATAACATCTTGGTGGTGGGATGGGGCTAGCTAACGGAGGTTATTCACTCAAAAAACATGAATCTGAAAAGGATGAAAAAGGAAAATCCAATATGGGTGGATCCCAATTTATAGTGCAACCATTGAAGGAGGGGGTAATGCAGGTGAATTCAATTTTGGGATGCACTTGTGAATAATTGGCATGACTCTCTTGTAGAGGAGGGAGGAGGGAAGAGGAGAAAGAGGAGTGCGTTTGAATGTGAATGTGTATGCTATTTGGAGGTGTTGGAGGAGGAAGAGGTGTGAAGTGGGGTTGTGGCAGAAGAGTTGGCAGTTGAGGTGGGTGGTTTGTGAAGAAGGAAGGAAGAGAGGTGAAGCAGCAGCTGGGAGGGGTATTTTTGTCTTTTAAATTATAGGGCATGCTTCTCTAGTTAATAAATTTTACTTTTGACTCAATTTTTTTTCTCATACCCACTCCCATTTTAGGCGCATGTAGCACAATTGTCGTCAATTTGGACACAAATTATCAAGGTTGTAGATTAGTTCAAAACTATATGGGGCCCGTGTGTGTGTGTGTGTGTTTTTTTTTTAATTACATTTGGGGTAAAGTGCTGTAGGACCAAACCACAAGGGGGTAAAATGGGTGTGGCACATGGGAAAAGTGATTATTTTTGAATAAAAACAATTTGGAGGTAGATAAAGAAGTCATAAAACAATTTTAAAACAAATTCTGGTAGTAGGAAGTGGAAAGCATCAAAATAGTTGTGAATAAGCCTAGTAAGCTACTTGGAGGATGAGAGAATAATATAAATATGTACTATTCCTCGGCTTAATTACCTGCTTATGGAAATGTATATGTTATTTTTGGTAATTCAATTATATTTTTCATCCAGGTAAAGGCTGAAGGGGGCACGACTGATGCAGATGATGAGTCTGAAATGCCGCCTGGGAAGAAGATGTTAGAACAACAGGGAATGGCTGAGGAAACTTTAGCGACAAAGATCAAGTTGGATGCTGATAGCAAATCAAAGGGGGCAAAGGAGGACACAGAGAAGAAAGAAACTGCATCTGCTGTTGACAAGGAACTGTTGCAGGCTTGTTGCTGAACTTTTTTTGGCCATCTGCTTTTGGCATTTTTTCACTAGTTCATTCCACTCACCATTTTTTTGTTACCGGCTTTCTTCTTGGAAACAGGCTTTCAGGTTTTTTGACCGAAATCGAGTGGGCTACATCAGGGTAATATTAAATGACTATTTTTTTATTCCTCTGTCCTGTCATGTTGAGAATTGTGAGGATATAACCATGTTTATACATCTTTCGCAGGTTGAAGATATGAGGTTGATCATCCATAACTTGGGGAAGTTCCTATCTCACAGGGATGTCAGGGTAATAATCTGTTTCGTTTTAAAGAAATTCTGTAGATTGTGGTTGGCTATATTATGTTAAACAGAAGGAAAACTTGGAGTCGTGTGTACATGCGTGTGTTTTATTTTGTGGGTCGTTGTTAATTTCTTATTTTCTTTCGTCAGGAACTAGTGCAAAGTGCACTGCTAGAGAGTAACACTGGCAGGGATGACCGAATTCTTTACAATAAGCTGGTGAGGATGTCTGACATTTTAGATGGACTAAAGTGAGGGTGGTGGTGTTGCTTTTCATTTGAAGGGATTTCTTATGGTATTCTCTTCTATGGGACTTGGGAAGTTGTATAGCGAGTCAGGGGTTCAGATCATGCTATTAAATTTAAACTGTCGGCTTTTTTGAATTTGTTACTGGTCAAAATGTTTCGATGGGGGATTAAACCTTGTTATTTGTGAATGATTATTTGGCCTGCCTTTTGTGTCAGATACTTTGATCGTAAAACTAAGTAATGTGTCAATCCACCTGTGCCACTGCCTCTGCCACTGCCACTGCCACTGCCACATGCATAGTAGAAAATCAGAACCCTGGAAACCTTTTAGCTATCTGTTTGGAAGCCTGTTGTTTTATATTTCCAGTTTTGTTGCTAATTTGGAGTGGATAGTCATAGTGGTGTCTGTCTAGGCTGTTAAGTGCATGCAACTCGATAAATCACAATAATTTTTTTTTTGAACTAATGATGATATATAGATGTTGAGTAACTCCAATTCTTGACCTTAGTTGATATCGACTTGTTAATTGCTTCCAAGTTTAATTTTTTTTTCTTAGTTAATGTGTTGAGCACTTGACTATATATATATATATATATTACTAATAAAAGTACACTAACAAGAAAAATTTGTAATTTTAAAATTTACCTTCAACTATTGTTACAATATCATTTAAATTTAAATTAATTAATTTTTAATCATCTGTTCACTTCTGTTATTCCTTTCATCTTTCATTTAATTCTGAATTAGTTTTCAATCATTCACTAATTTTTAATCTTTTCCTTATTAGCAAGTTTTTCCTATATTCGTTGCACAGCTAAGGATAAACTGTCTCCAAAGCATATAAATTTGCATCCTCAAACCTCCCTCCCCCTCTCTCTAACACATACACAAGGTATACACTGTTTTTGTGATAAGAAGTGAGAAAATTAGGATATTCTAGCAAATGAATTTTTTTGTTCTACCAAAGATATTAAGTCTCATTCTTCTATATATGCTATTTACATCATTTGACATTATGCAAAAAATTGAATTTAAAGTATACTTATCATGATTTTATTTATCCATTAAGTATCACGTAAGGACAAAACAAGAAGCATAATGTAGCAATGACTTTTTATTATTATTATTTTTCCATTATGCAACATGGTATTAATGATATAAATATTCATTCTAATACCAGGTTATAATTAACTTGATTATATATTTGTTTATAGATTTAATAATAATTTTTACTACCTAAATTTATTTATGTGCAACATATGTAGTGCACTGCTAATTAAAATAAGTATATCAGCAAAAATATTTAAGGTGGAAGTGCAAATAATCTCATTAATCCACACTTATCGCTCTCCTCTCTTTTCTCTACTTTTTTTTTTTATTTTTCTATTTACTTTAATTGTAAATTACGTGATTAAATTTGTTATTTAAAATAAAAAATATTGCATGATCAATGCTCAATTAATGATATTATATTTTATCTTCTAATATAGAGTTATTGCTAGTATTCTATATTCCATTATGTAGATAATTATTTACCACTGCGCCTCTTAACGGATCGAATATGGATAGGATTTTGATTGATTCAAATATGATTTTAAAAGTTCGATCCAAATCCAATCCAATTATTTAACGAATTTTATTTTTACGGTTCATATTCAATCCGATCCAATATGAATAACTTAATTTAACTTAAATTTAAAAATTTATATCTAAATTTCAACCAAATTTATTTAAATAATTATTTAATTTTTTAAATATTTATATCAAAATATATACATATTTTAGATCAGATCATAATCGAATTAGATATAAGTATAATTAAATCTGATTCGTGAAATGTATAATAGCGAATTCAAATTTGGGTTCAAATTATTGATAAAAATATCGACCCATATATGGCTAATCGATTTCGGATCAAATTCTAATCTGGCTTCTAAATAACTATATATATATATATATATATATATATATATATATAGTTATTGTTCGTGCCTGAAAACACAGAGTAATACAAATAAAAAAAATTTATCAATTATAAATATATTTGTATTCACACCCAAAATCAAATTACAAACAGAGAAGAGAAAGAAAGGAATTTAAGCACTAGTTATAGTGAAGATGAGTGATGGGGGTGACAGTGGTGCTGGTGGGAGACGGTGATGATTGTAGTGGGTGGCAGTGACGACCGTGGTGATGGTGGCAGCTGTGGGTCACAACAATGATGGTGTTGAATTTTTGGTGAGGATGGTGATAGTGGTAGCCATGGGTGATGACGATGGTGGTGGTGGGGGCGAGGATGCTAATGGGTTGTGTTAGTGGGTGTTGACGATGGTGGTGATAGTGTGAGTTGTGGTGGGCAACGACGGGTGCTTGTGAGCAACAGTGGTAGTAGGGGTGGCGAATGATAATGGTGGTGATAGGTGTGGTGGTGGTGGGGGTGGGTGACAATAGGTGGCGACAGTGGTGGGAAATGATGGGTGGTGGGGGTAGGTGTGATAGGGATGGGTGACAGTAGGTGGTGGTGACGGTGGACGATGATAGGTGGTGGTGGGTTGTGATAGTGGGTAGTGGTGGAATGATAGTGATAGTGGTAATAAATATAAGAATGAGATGATGATGGTAGTAGTAGTGGTAATAAATATAAGAATGAGATGATGATAGTAGTGAGTGGTAGTTGTGGGCAACGGTGGTAACAATTAATGGTGGATGATGAGGGTGGTGGTGGGGCAGTGGGGCAGTAGTGGAGTGGCGGCATCGGTGGTGGGGGTGATTTTGTAGAGAAGTGATTTTAAAGAAGTTTACTTAGTTATTTAAGTGGAAAAACTACTTTTGACTTATTTTGCAGTAATTAAAATAAGTTGTTCCAAACATTACATTTTAAAAAAAAAAGTTCTTATGAGAAGTTATAAATTCTAGAAATGTTTTGAAAAAGTCACTCAAAACTCACCTTTAGGGGACTTATTTTCTTTATTAAATTTAGAGAGTTAATATTAGCTGTTGGATAAACTTTAAAGTAAAATTTAAAATGAACTCAATCTGTAACACCTCAAAAATCGGGGGTCCTTAATTTAACAAAATTCAAGCAGAGTCTTCTACTTGTGCAATTATAATACATTGACCACACCGGATCCATATATGAATAAATATTGACCACACCTGGTCCATTTACCCATCAAATAATAAAATTTCATTCACCACATGTAATATCCACCATATCATCCCAAAAGAATAGACCAAGCTATGACATTTATATTTTAAAAGAATTACACTCAAACTTAGCAGCGGAATAAACAAAATACTGACTATACATGATTGTAAATAAATTCTCTAGTATAGCACAAAAATAAACTATAGCTCTAGATGTCTACCTCGGGATCTAGGTTCCTCTCTGGTGGAACCTCCCAATTTTCCGGCTCGTCAACGCCGGGATCTTCCTCTAGCATGAAATCTGAAAAAAAAACGTTATTGGTAAGGGGTGAGCATTAAGCACTGTAGGAAAATCCTCCCAAACTCTAACAAGGTTTGAAAAACGTAGAAAATGGTCGGTCACATTTCACAAATAACATACGTAATTTTGAAAGAAAACATGATATTTTCAAAAATTTCAAGTTTATACATTAACAATAATTAAGTGCAAGAGTAAAGTCAATCCCACCATAAATAACCATTTCAAAGAGTAATTATTCCCACAACAATTTTCAAGATAATCATATCCAAAAGATAACGCAATAAACAATAACCACAATGTATCTTAAGTCTGATGTAAGATAATTGCATGAATAAACACATAGAGAATATCCTGACCCACACACACACAATTCCTCGCAAGGATATCAACTTCGGGAAGGGCGCCTACCGATGCATTGTCCCATACCAATGCACCGGTAATAATGAATCCGACCCAGACATAGTATATTAATCCTCTCACACGGTACTCGTGAGCTAATAGTTGTTTGGTCCTCGCAAGGCACCAACCTCACTACGAGTGGTAGGAAAAGTTTATACCCACACGGAGTAAGAACCACACATATCTACCCACTCTACGATATCCGGTCAATGACCACCCATGGTCATCCAAACACCTTCATGAGATACAATCACAAACAATTTCTCAAATACACTTAATTCCATAAATTCCCAATTTTTCACATCTAAATTTACATTTATTTCACAATGGAACAATTTAAAAAAAATTAACAAGAGATCATCATAAATACCATTGTGTTGTTCAATACGAAACACTAAAATTTTGAAATCAAGAATAAAGGAGAAATCAAGAAAAAAACTCACTTCTTTTGAAATCTAGGGTTTTGAATATGAGAAAAGAACTTTGATGGTTATTCAACCATCCCATTGTTTAAAACATGCTAACATTTGCAAAAACATCAAGAATCCATGATTTCATAGCATATTAATATGATGTAGAGTCAAAGAAAATATATATGTATAACTCTAGCCTCAATGTAAGAGAATGACAGAAAACCCCTACTTGAATCAAATTTCCAAGTAAGAACCCAAACTCTAGTAACCTCCTTCTTCCCTTTTTTTCCTTCCTTAATCTTCCTCTAAGGTTCCAAGAGGTGTGGGGTGAGAGTGGAGTGAAAAGAATGGAAGTAAATGGAATAAAAATAGGTTTTTAAACACAGCAGCCCCGATTTTTATTGTTCACAAGTTGATTTGATTTTTCCCAAAATTACGGTTTTGCCATTAAGAATCTCCAATTTGATCCATATGACTACCCTAAGGTTTTTCGACGTTCCGGATTCATTTTTAATGTTATTTTAACCTAAAAATATTTATTTTTATGATTTATCTCAAAACTAAAATAAATTTACACTCGAAACACGAAAATTATTATTTTATTCCTCCGAACCGCTATATATGCTAAAAGACTATTCCAAGTTTTTTCGGATCTCCCAGGTTCAATGATAATATTATTTTGACCTAAAAAAATTTATATTTTTACTTAG